GCCATGTCCAGGCTGGAGCTGTGCCCGAGGCAGATGCAAAATCTACACAGACAACCCTGGTTTACCCCCTCCCTCTTCCACAGGCGCAACGGGAAAGTGCAGCACTGCCGCATCCACTCACGGCAGGATGCCGGCAGCCCCCAGTTCTTCCTGACGGACAACCTGGTGTTCGACAGCCTCTACGACCTCATCACCCACTACCAGGAGGTGCCGCTGAGGTGTAATGAGTTTGAGATGAGGCTGACAGAGCCAGTGCCGCAGACCAATGCCCATGAGAGCAAAGAGTGAGTGTGTGTTTGGGGAGAGTGGGTCATGTCCACTGGGCAACTGGGACCCCATGGGAAACTCTCCGCAGTCATTCCTTCTGCTGGGGCTCTCTGGTCCCCACTTGCTCCCCATGGGGCTCTCTGTCGGAGCAGCTGGGCTGGCCAGCTTCGTTGTTGATGCAGCTGGTTGTCTTGAGAGCTCAGTGGAAAGAAAGGAGGTACTGGGCTTGGTTGGGATGCCCTCGCCCATGCTGCCTGTCACCAAACGGCTCTGTTCCTGACTGTCCCACAGCAAGGAGAAGACAGCCCTGTTGCAGTGTTACACATCTGATGATCTCTGCTCCCTGTCCTCCTTTTGAGGATTCAGGCAGCCTTTTGTGGGCTGGAGGGGAAACCGTGTGGCATGGCAGAGGTGTGGGACGAGCTGGATGTACAGACCCGTGCACAGTGATGTGTCTTTCCTGAAAGGTGGTACCACGCCAACCTCACCCGGGCCCAAGCCGAGCACATGCTGATGAGGGTGCCACGTGACGGAGCCTTCCTGGTGCGCAAGAGGAGCGAGCCCAGCTCCTACGCCATCTCCTTCCGGTGCGTCCCTGGGAGAGGGGTGGTGGTCTGTGAAAGAGCAGGAGAGGGGCCATGAGCCTGATGTGAGCCCTCCCAGAGCTCTTGCCGCTCCTGGATGACCCTGGATAAGCCCTACAGCCCCTTGAGAGCCTTTGGGACCCCGCTCGTCCTCCCGTCTCCTGATGGGAGATGCTGTGCTCAGCAGCCAGCCTGGGAGCACCTTTTGCTTGGGTGTCTTTATTTTGGCAGAGACCCTCTCTTGCCAGGTGCCAAGTGGCTTCTCTATCTTTCCACCTGCCAGGGCGGAAGGGAAGATCAAACACTGCCGAGTGCAGCAGGAGGGCCAGACCGTGCTGCTTGGCAACTCCGAGTTCGAGAGCCTCGTGGACTTGATCAGCTACTATGAAAAGCACCCACTGTACCGCAAGATGAAGCTGAGGTACCCCATCAATGAGGAGACGCTGGAGAAGATAGGGACAGCAGTGAGTATGGGTGGCTGTTGGAAGAGCTAAGCCAAAGGGTGATGAACGGGTCTGTTTTGAGCTGGTGCCTTGGAGTGGTGTTGTGTGTCAGCTCTGTGCTTCACAGTCCACAGCTTTGTGCTTCGCAGTCCACACCTCTTGGGGCTTCATGCCCTGTTGGAAACCCTTATTGGCTTGGGTGAGATTTATTGCTGCCCCTCTGACCCAGGTCAGCAGGGCGTGTGGGCTTGGGCATCTGTTTGCTGTGTGCACAGCATCTTTGGTCTTGTGCCTTCCCTGGGGTGTTCTCCCTACCACCCCCAAGGGAGGGGACCTGTTCTCCTGCAGAGACACAGTTGTCACCACTGGCCCTTTGCTTCGACAGGAGCCAGACTACGGAGCCCTTTACGAGGGACGCCACCCCGGGTTCTACGTGGAAGCCAATCCCATGCCCACCTTCAAGGTACGTTCTCTCTGCTTGGCGTGAAACAACCTGCAGGGCCTGAGGGTTTAGCAAGTGTCTCTTTATTTTCCAAGAGCTGTATTATTTTGCACACTCATTTCTAGACCATGCAGGAAGACGTGCTCTAGGCTGAGCCCGCAGGTTCCCAGGCTGGGCTGCTCTTGTTCTGAACTCTCCAGACTAAACCCATCAGTGGCTCCAGCCCCAAGAAAAGTGCCGGTGCGGGGCCATACCAGACTTGTGACCTCTGGTGTGGCATAAATGGGGGCCTTGATTTGTTCTGCAGGGGTCACTGGGGTCTGGCAGCCTCTGACAGCGGGGTTGTATGCTGCCTGCACATGACGTGCCTCACAGCCCCCCCAGCAAACACGTCTGCAGTGGGAGGTGACGTCTCATCCCGTGGGCTTGTTGTCCATGTGACCACCCACTGCCTGGCCTCACGGGACCCTTCCTCATTGCAGTGCGCAGTCAAAGCCCTGTTCGACTACAAGGCACAGCGGGAGGACGAGCTCACCTTCACCAAAAATGCCATCATCCAGAATGTGGAGAAACAGGAAGGAGGCTGGTGAGTTGGTCCTGAGCCTCCTTTTTCCCCCAGTCAAACCTTGGTGTCACCATCTGTACAAAGGTGTGCTCCCTCTAGGGCTGGGTCTGTTTGAGGATTGCCCACAAGCTGCACAGCCTCAAAGCCTCGTGACCCCAAAAGCAGATGATGGAAGAGCTGCCTGTTGCCTGTGACCCCCAGTCAGGATGCTCTGGGATCCCAGGATGGGTGCTGACTCTGCCCCTTCCCTCTCTTCTAGGTGGAGAGGAGATTATGGCGGCAAGAAGCAGCTGTGGTTCCCTTCCAACTATGTAGAGGAAATTACTGGTCCCAACAGCCTGGAGCCGGAGCGAGAGGTGAGCTTGTGCCTGAGCGGAGCAAGGAGGGGTGGTGGGGAGGAGTGCGAGTGCGCAGCCCCTGCGCTCGGCCACGCTGCCCAGCGCCGTGCCCAGCACTGTGCCCAGCACCATCCTGCCTGTGCTTCATTCCCAGCAGCAGCTGGATGAGAACAGCCCCCTGGGAGACCTGCTCGGAGGTGTCCTGGACGTGCCCTCCTGCCAGATCGGTGAGTGCCAAGGAGGGGTGGAGGAGTGGGGGTGTTACAGCTGTTGGCAGGTCTTTTGGGACAAAGGGCTTTGGTCTCCATCTGTCTCTAGGCACCCCTGTGCCTGCCGTGAGAGAGTGTGTGTCTACAGTGTGTGCTTGCCGTGTGGTGACACACTCTGCTGCTGCTCCCAGCACAGAGGGTGCCTCGGGGTTTGGGGTCAGGCGTGTCCCTGCAGCTGGAGTACAGCCGAGTGCCACCGGGGGTCCTGCCAAGGAGCCGCTCCAGCACGCCTTGAGCCTGCTCTCAGGGGGCAGCTGCCCCATGGGCAAGGGAGCTCGGACCGATTTTGTAGGCTCCTCCTTATCTGTGAGGATTTGTCCTCCCTCGCATACGTGGCGCCCACCCTCCCTACCAGACTGCCGCGGGCCCTGGGGCTCCAGGGCACTGGCCGAGCTGGGTCCAGGCTGCAGCTCTCTGCTGTCCCTCGGCTCCCCAGAGCCCAGAGGACATTGTGCTCCAGGTGGCTGTTCCCACCTGGGCACTTCAGGGTCCGGAGTGAAGAAAATGCAGGAATGGGAGGAAGAGGGCATTACAAGAGTCCCGGGGCAGCCATGAGAGTCCATCCGTGTCTGTCTTCTCCCTTCCTCCCTCTGTGGTCTGAAGGCCTTGGCTCAGCGTCTGCTTGTGACCTTGCCCTCTGCTCCCTCTCCCCACACAGCCATCCGCCCCGAGGGGAAGAACAACCGCCTCTTCGTGTTCTCCATTAGCATGGCCTCGGTGTCACGCTTGTCCCTTGATGTGGCAGCCGATACGCATGAGGACTTGCTGGACTGGGTGAAGAAGATCCGGGAGGCAGCCCAGACGGCTGACGCACGGGTGAGTCTGGAGAGCCCAGGGGACACATCTCCCTGCCAAGTCCTGGATTTTCCAGGAGATGAGGAGCAGGTGGAGGCTGGTGGAGGTGGTGGTGAGGTGGCAGCCTGCGATGACTGGCAGAGCAGTTACAAAGCCAGAGTAATCTTTGACAGTGTAGCAAGGGGTGGTGGCCACACATTGTGGCTTGAGAGGTTCAGGCTGGACATCTGGGAAGATTGGTCCATCGGGAGGACCTCGGGAGGTGGGGGATCTCCATTTGTGGAGGGTGGCAAGGCCCAGCTACAAGGCCACAGCTGCCTTGCACCGGTACCGGTGCCAGTCCTGCTCCAGGCAGGAGGTAGGACCCACCAAGGGCCCTTCCTATAGGTGCTTTTGTGGTGTCCCCCCATGCAGACCCAGCACAAGGGTCTGTGGCCAGCACTGCTGTTGACTGCAGTTGGTGAGCTGGGTTATCCAATGCTGCTGCTCCCACCTGGCCCTGACACCTCTCTCTCCCTCTCTTGGCAGCTCTCTGAAGGGAAGATGATGGAGAGGAGGAAGAAGATAGCCCTGGAGCTTTCGGAGCTGGTGGTCTACTGCCGACCTGTGCCCTTCGATGAAGAGAGTGAGCATCTGCTGGTCTGGTGGCCACCGCGGGCAGTCACCGTGGCGTTACAGACCCCGCGGTGTGCCCTGAGGTGCTGTTTGGGCTAGATCTCAGCAGAGGGCAGGTGTCCAAAGCAAACTGGAACCAGTTTACATTGGAGCTCTGGAAATGTCCTTCTCCAGAGGGTGGAAGTTCCCTTCATCCATCCCTCTGCTGCTGGGATCTGTCACCATCCAGAGCAGCTGCTGAGGGAGTGAGGCTGGGGCGCATCACACCCGATCACCAAGAGAGGTTCCGCGATGCTTTCAGCCATTGGGGTTGGGCACCCAGCAAACGCCCACCAGGGCAGAGCAGGATCTGTACAACCTGATGGTGGCTGAGCAAAGGGAGGAGAGGATGGTATTAGGAAGGGGCCCAGGGTGGTTGATGTGTCTGGAAAGGCAATGTGCTCCTGGCTTACATTGTGCTGTCTCCTCCCAGAGATCGGCACAGAGAGGGCCTGTTACCGCGACATGTCCTCCTTCCCCGAGACCAAGGCAGAAAAGTACGTCAACAAGATCAAAGGCAAGAAGTTCCTGCAGTACAACCGCCTGCAGCTCTCTCGCATCTACCCCAAGGGCCAGCGCCTCGACTCCTCCAACTACGACCCCCTGCCCATGTGGATCTGCGGCAGTCAGCTGGTAGCGCTCAACTTCCAGACCCCAGGTGAGGGCAGCGGGCAGGGAAGGTGGGCAGGCGCCCAGGGCACCCTGTGCCTCCTCCCAGCCAGCTGCCT